TATATATATATATATGAGAGCTGCTCTGATGGAAGCGATGGCCTGGAATCATGCCCACGCTGCCTTCCTCCATGGCACAGAAGACTTCTAGGAACTCAGGGTCCTGGGTCCCACGGTATAGCCCAGTGGCTCTCAAAGGGAGGTCCCTGCACCACCAGCAGCAGCACCTGCATTTTTAGAAATGCAGATTCTCAGGTATCACCCTGAACCTACTGAATCAGAACATTTGGGAGTGAGGCCTACATCTGTGTTTTAACGAACCCTCCAAGTGATTCTGATGCCCAAAAGTACAGAATGACTTTCCTTAAGCCATCTGGGGAGTTTAATGGATGCAATTATTGAGTGTCTAAAATATGCAAAATTCTAGACTATATGCTACTGGGGACACCAAGAAAGTCAAGTCTGTGTGTTAGTTATCTGTTGCTGAGTCACAAATTAGCCGAGTTTAGACACTTAAACAACAGGGTCATGAATCTGTGTGTAGCTCTATGGGGTCCTCTATCTCACAAGGCTGTAGTCAAGGGTATTGGCCAGAGCCTCAGTCATCACAAGGTTCAGTTGGAGCAGGATCCACTTATTAGTTCAGTCAGATTCTTAGGGGTGGGTTGGCCACCCTTAGTTCCATGCCACATGGGCCTCTCCATAGGACAATTCACAACATGGCAGCTGCCTTCATCAAAGTGAGCCAGCTAGAGAAAGGGAGAGAAGGTGCCTAAGACAGAAGTCATAGTCCTTTATAGTATAATCTTGGCAACAACTTATGCTCTAGTCTTTTCATCAGAAGTGAGTCACTAGGTCCAGCCCACATTCAAGAGGAGGGATTACACAAGGCTGTGGATCCTAGGAGGTGGGGTTTTTAAAGATCCCGCAGTCTCTGACTCTGTCCTTGAGTGTATCAATGGGACATCAAATAACTATAAACCTAACTGGAATCAGTCAGGGAAGGATGGTGGTCATGGGGGCAGGCACAAGCTCAGTGGCAGTTCAGACAGAAGTAAAACTTTCTGGTTGGAGGAATCAGGAAGGTTTCCTAGAGGAGATGGCATTTAACAATGGACCTTGAAGGAATGGAGGACATGTCACTGGCTCAGCGTGGGAGGCCAGGTGGAGGACAAAGCATAGGCAAAGGCAATGAGGTAGGAAAGTGAAGCACCTGCTCAGGTATCCAGGTATCCAAACCATTCAACTTGGGTGGAGCCTAGATAGAGACAGGAAGAATAAAGCTGGGGCCGTAACTTGGACAGTGTCTGTTGTTAGATGGAGGAGCTCTCACTTTGACTGGGAGTGGGGCCAGGAGCCAGGAGAGGTATGGCTTCTGTTACTAGGACTGAGGGGCCAGGACTGAGGGGCTCTGAGTTCAGTGCTGGCCTTCTCTACTTGCCTGGCCCTGAGGTCCACGCCCCATCCCCCCTTGCAGTTTGGACGCACTGAAGTCATCGACAACACACTCAATCCCGACTTTGTGCGCAAATTCATTGTGGATTACTTCTTTGAGGAGAAGCAGAACCTCCGTTTCGACCTGTAAGTGGAAGATGGTGCTGGGGACGGGGCTAGGGGAGGAAGCATGGATGGGAGGTGGGGCAGGAGTTTCCCTTACCAGGGAAGGAGGGCGGGGTGGGTGGGGGGGACTGTGATTTAGAGGAAGCCGGGGGTTAGCCTGGAGTAAAAGTGACAATTAGCTGAAGTCCAGCCCCACCCTCATCAAGAGATGGAAGGGAGATGGGGAGAGGGAACAAAGCATCCCACATTGGTCTGACTGACCGGGAGAGCACTGAGCAAGCCACCTGACTGAGGGGGTCATGGTTGAGGAAAGATCTTCGGAACAATTCTAGCTCTATCTGCAGGAGTCCTTTTCTTCCCAGGTGACTGGGAGGTCTCCACTGACCTCTTCCTCTGTCACAGCTTGTTCTGGGAGAGGGCACCCCTCTCCTCCTGCAGTCAGGGCTCCAGGCTGACAGGGCTCCAGGAATCTACAAAGATGCAGAGGGCCCTCTCCTGAGGGTAAAGATGATGGTGGGATTTCAGGCTGATGAACAGGTGGAGGAGTGTTGTTTTGTTGTTTTTAGGGGGTGTGGGTGGTTACAAAGGACTACGTCCCAGAAAACTGTGGACAGAGTAGGATCTGATAGTGCAAAGGAGAAAATGCAGTGGAAGGAGACGACTTTGGAGGGAGTGATGAGAGGATGTCAATGAAGCCCCCTATAGAGAAGTCACCTTGTGACATTTTGGAGAGAGACAGTGCTCAGGGCAGGGGACTGGCATGAGAATGACTGCCACTCAGCTGGAGTTATCTGGGCCTGGAATGGCTGCATGGTTGTAGAGATGGCTGAATGAGCGGGTAGAGGGGGGATGCTGGAAGGAGGGCTGCGGGTGAGGCTTCGATGAGCAGTTTCCAGGTGGAGGGAGGTTCCCAGCTGCAAGATCAGCCTGCCTACAGTTGATCTGGTAAAATAATCAGAGACGGTCAAAGGCAAAGTATTGAGTTCCAAGGACAGCAGAGCCTTAGCTAGAAAGATGGGAGAATAGGCAGTGATGGGCAAGGTGGCTCAGCCACCTGTGAACCAGCCAAGGTGGCAGAGCCCATTTATTTTATTTTTGTAATTCTTAATGAAGTGCACAAATCTTAGGAGTCCACCTCATGGTGATTGTAATTCTTAATGAAGTGCACGCGTGCACGCGTGTGTATGTGTATTGAAGTGCACAAATCTTAGGAGTCCACCTCATGGTGCATTTTTACATCTGTTTATACTTGTGTAATCACCACCTAAATCAAGAGACAGAACATGTCCAGCACCCCAGAAGGCTCACATTTACATCTCCAGCCATGACTCCCAGAAATATGCACTGCATTAGAGCCTGTTTTTTGGGGTGCAGGGGTCATGACTCAGCTCAAGGACCCAGGTGGTGTTGGGCAGAATGCTCTGGCTTCCTGCACCATCTCTCTTTGTCCCCTGCAGATATGACGTTGACTCAAAGAGCCCTGACTTATCCAAACACGTGAGTTCCACCCGTGACTGCCCAGTGATTCTGAAAGTCTCTTAAATGCCAAGCTCGGAGTTGGCCTCGGGCTTCACTGTGACACAGAGTGTGTGTCTGATGCTGCATCCTGTCATTTCAGAGCCATCACACTTCCAGGGGTGAGGGGATGGGGGAGGTGGAATGGTTGTGAGCAGAGTAGGTGACACTTGTCTTTTCTGTACCCTGGATATGCAGGATTTCCTGGGCCAGGCCTTCTGTACCCTCGGAGAGATTGTGGGGTCCCCTGGGAGCCGCCTGGAGAAGCCCCTCACGTAAGTGTATGGTGGGGGATGGGGCCTGTCTGGGTTGCTTCTTCAATGACGGGCCAACTTCCCACCCACTCCCGCTGAGGGCATCATTCAGTGAAGCAGTCAGCCCGCCCTGAGGGATAATTAGGAATAAGGAGACCCCATGGACTGACCCTTATAGGGCTTTTAACCCAGTTACCTTGGTTATTAAGCCCCATATTTCTAGGATGGCCCTCAGATGCTGTTTAGTCCCCCATCATTATCATTGTGTAGGAGAAGAAAGCAAAGCTCAGAGAGGGGAAGTAACTTGTCCAAGGCCACACAGCTAGAAAGTGGGAGAGCTGGGGTTTGAATGGAGGGTTCTACTCACATAGCACATACTTCGGATTGTTCACACCTTGTTATAGGTCAGAGCTGGGTATAGTGAGGCCCTCCCCATCTCACCTTGCCCTTGGCAGTCTGCATTAAAGGAACTTAAGTGCTTTTAGGGAAAAGCCATTACTCAGAGCAGGCTCTGGGATGAGAAGTCCCAAGGCTTCTCACAATGGAGTCTGAGGGTGGCTTCAGGACCAGCCAGGGCTGACCAGGTGGTGATGGTGACCTCTCTTGTCCCTATTTCACATGAAGCCCCAAAAGCAGAGACCGGGCAAGAGAAGCCTGAAAACTGGGATAAGCATCCAGGTCATCGGGCAGGGTGGGCAGGAAAGGGGGATCAGGCTGGGCTGAGCATCAACTCCCAACTTGCTTCTGCCATGTTCACACTACATTCTCTCCCCTTACTGTGATCAATAACTGCAGAATGTGCTACTCTATGTGTATGAGGGGTGATCTCTCTCCCAGGCCCTTGTCTCTGACCCCCAGTAACTGTGTGGTAACTTCAGGGACTATAGAAAGTCCTCCCTGCTCCCCAAAAGGTCACCTACTCTGGGTTCACAGAAAATAATAATAGCTATCATTTATTGAGAACAGGGAGAAAAACCCACATTTTGTGGGATTTGAAGCTTATAGAATTTGGGGTCCCAGGAATGAGTGTGGGTGTGTTTCTGCCCCTCTTGGCTCCCAACTGCTTGGGTCAAAAGCCCACAAGTCACTTGGGTCTGTTTCTTGCCTGGTGTCACCTGCTCTGCCTTTGGTGGAGGACACACCTGGGGAGATTGAGGAAGACTTGGGGTAGGAGATGGCAAGGGGGCTGGGCCTTAAAGGACAAGCAGCATCTAAACTGTCCAGGCTGGTGGAGACGTTTTGTGTTGCTGAAGGAAGGGGACCTATTCTGCCTACTGAAGGTTTCGTGCGTCTGTGTGCTGTTGTCTCCCTGGCTAGACCTGCAAACAGCCCCCTTTCACTGGGCATGTCTTCTGGGCCAGACAGAGTTTTACTTCCCGGATTTCATGTGATTCTCTCAGCAATCTCCCCACTTCACAGCCTGAACCCTGAGCCTCAAAGAGTTAGAGCAGTGGTTCTCAGACTGTAGCAGACATGGCAACCTCTGGAGGGCGCGTTAAACACAGACTTCTGGGCTCCCCTCTTCTGCCCCAGAGTCACAACATCCAGGGTCCAGGGTGGGGCCTGAGAATTTATATTTCTAACATATCCCCAGGGGATGCTGATGCTACTGGACCCAACTTTGATAACCCCTGAGGTAGCATTGCCCAGGACTTCATAACAAGGTTTGAGACGACGAACTCTCCTTCCCCTGACCTGTGGCTTTTGATCCTGTTTTGATGTTTGATTGAGACCAGAAAACCCTCTCCAAGAATTCAGATGCCAAGTGCTCTGGCCTCTCAGGACGTGTGTACTTGGCTCATGACATGCTCTCTCTCTCTCTCTCTCTGCACAGGATAGGAGCATTCAGCCTGAATTCCAGGACGGGCAAACCCATGCCAGCTGTGTCCAACGGGTAGGTCACCAGACATCTCTGGCCCTGGAGTCCTCAGACATCCAGCCAGCTCTGCAGAGGGCCTTCAGAGTATAGGCCCAGCACTGTGTATTCAGCCCTGGTCAGGAGGACGGAGAGAGTCCTGGGTCCCTCTTCAAGGACCCAAGCACTTTGGGCTACTCTGCAGCTGGCCCCTTCCCCCATCCAGGCTAGATAGAGCTCAAGCTTCTGCAGCCCCAGTGGCTCATGGGACTTCTGGGAGCAGGGTAGAGCCTAGAAGTAGGGGCTGTTAACAGAAGTCAGCTGGGGCTGGCACTTTCCCTTCCCTTCCTCTCTCCTTGGCCTAGTTCCTTCACCTCCCACCTCTTACCCTTTTTTCTCTCCTCTTTCTCCTCCCTTTTCTTCATCCCCTCACTCCTCTTCCCCTCCATTTCTTCCACTGCTGGATGTCAGCCTCCTCCTCAGAGGAGCTTCAGCTAAATCCTCAGTTTTTGCATGTGCTCACCAGCTGTGGTGGGCCAGCCTCCACCCTGACTGTCTGCTTTTGGCTGGCTTTATGCAAATGTGGGCCATGCAGACCTTCCCCACTCCTTCCCTCTCCTCTCTTGGTGGGAGGGAGAGTCCTCACCCCAGCAGAGGGTACGTGGGAGCATTTGCTTGGGAGACCAACCTGGAGGTCCCTCCCAAAGAGGTAACATTTTGGCATTCCCCACTCCTTCTCTCCCCTCTCTTGGTGGGAGGGAGAGTCCTCACCCCGGCAGAGGGTATGGGGATCATTTGCTTGGGAGACCGACCTGGAGGTCCCTCCCAAAGAGGTAACATTTTGGCAAAGTAAACAAAGCTTCACTGGCCTTTGCTGAGGGCCCCTAGGAGTTGGGGGTCTCAGGAGCTAGATTGGCCACCAGACCAACTGGATGTGAGAAAGGGGCCTTCAGGGACTCAGGGAGGCTCACAGCCCAGGAAGGTTGTGGATGGTAATTCACAGGGAGAGTAGAGAAGCAGCAGTTAGAGAGCAGGAGTCAGAGAGAGAAACAAAGAGGGAGGGTGAGAAAGACCAGGGGGACAGAGGGAGAGAGAGAAAGTGAAGTGGAGCAGGTGGGAACAAGGCTGGAGAGAGGGGAAGGAAAGATTGGAAATAGAAAAGGGGCTCAGAGGCAAAGAAAGGAACAGATGGAGAAGCGCTGGTTGAGGAGGCTGGTGTGAGGATTTTATCGCCTGGTCAAACAAATCATATCTCTCCTACCAGGGAGGGCCAGGCAGGGGGTGGGGAAGGGCTTTCTGGCACTCATTTCAGCTGCCCCTGTCTAGGGGAACCAGCTGGCAGGCACTGCCACCTGCCTGTGGCAGGGAAACCTCCAGATGTGGCCCCTGCTCTGCTCACCTGATTTGGAGAGATCTAGGCTGTCTCATCAGCCCCCAGGGTCAGCTCTCCTGCCTTCTCTGTTTGAGAGCCTTTCCCTCCAAGAACTGGTGCAGGGAAGAGCTCCATCAGTGGTTCTCAAAGTGTGTTCCATAGACGGCATGCTGGTGGTCCCGAGGCTGGCCTGAGTGTGGGGCTGGATTTTATCAGCTTTGTACATTTGTCAAGGAAAGAGGGCAGGGAAGGAAATGATGCTCCTTGAGGGCCTTCTTTGTGCCAGGCACTGTGTGTACATATCAGTTAGTAAAATGGATGCTACAGTCTTACCCATTTTATGGATGAGGAACCTAAGGCTCAGAGAGATATAGTAATAAGCCCAAAGTCATGTAGCTACTAGACAACCTGACATTTTCTTCTAGCTCCCAGTGGGCCCTGGCTGCACTGGGACCCCCAAGTTAGTTCCAAATGTCAGAGTGGGATGGGCTGGTGCCTGGAGTAGGGTTCCCTCCTGACCAAGGGAAGAGGTGGTGCAGGTCTCCTGGGTGGAGCCCCATCCTGGGAACTTCTTCTCCTGGAAGGGATTCTCTGGGTGGGTCAACTTCAGGTCCTGGTTGCCCACGTCACTGAGGAGCTGCATGGTTGGCTGAGATCTCTCCAGGAGAGAGACCCCAGCCAAGCAGTTCTAGGGGAGGTAGCCTTGGAGAAAGCCTGGATGTGCTGCCCGCAAGGGTATACCAGCCCTCCTGCCTTACTCCTTGCTGTTCTTCCTCGATGAATCAGAGCAGCTCAGAGCTGGAATGTTCTGGGACTCTGGGGTCAGCTGGGTGCAGGGTTGGGTGGCTAGCCCATGAGGTCTTTTGCCCACAGAAGTGGTCTTTGGATGGAAAGTTTGAGAACCACTGGTCTGGAAGCCTCCGGGTGAGTCTGGATGCTTTTCCAATTCTAGGACTTTCACTGCAGACACTACCCTTCCTGGTGGGCTCTCGGGGAGCAGGGGCGGGGCAGCTCCAGGCCTGGGGCCTGGCCCAGGAAGCAGTGCACTAGGCCACACTGCCACAGTGTTTCAGGAGACTCTGTCTTCTCAGGGGCTTGGGCCAGATCTGCTGGGTGGTGAGGGCGGGAGAGGATGAGGGCTGATACAGGGCATGTGCTGGTCGTATCTCTTTGTCTGGCTCTCCATTCTTTTATTTTCTCCTCTCCCAGTGGTGTCCCAGGGAAGAAATGTGGCACCATCATCCTGTCTGCTGAGGAGCTCAGCAACTGTAGGGTGAGTGGCAGAGGGACTCCAGGACAGGACCTGGTAGAGGCGGTTGGGGTGGTATGGGGGCAGGCTGGCATCCTTGTGACCCCAGGACCATGTGTGTCCTTGGAGGGAATAGGAAGACAGGGCTGCCCTCTTCAGTCTGACCTGGCTGTCATAGAATTTTGTAAAATCAGAGCTAGAAGGTGTCCCTTTTTATGGCTGAGCAACTGAGGCTCAGAGATGAGGAGGAACTTGCCCATAATTAGCTGCAGAGCTGGGCCCGGAGCCCTGGTACTCTGGCTCTCATGACAGGGCTTCTTCCACTCTTTATCATGGCACCACTCATCTGTCCTTGAGCCAAGATTGCCTTGGAACCAACTCTGGTAGCAGAGGAGGCTTTTCGTCTGGGAGTTTGTGCGCTTGGCATTTAGTTGTCATTTTTCACTTTTAGTTCTAGAGTAGGGTGACACCCTACATGAGGGAGTGAGGGCGTGGTGTGTGCGTGCGTGTGTGTGTGTGTGTGTGTGTGTGTGTGTGTGTGTGTGTGTTGGGAAGCCAGACTCTACAGTCCTATGCAGCCCTTGGTTTTACTACTTCTGTAGGACTGTGGAGAAACAGGAGATGATGACAGCTGAAGGGGCAGCCGAGCCCACTGAGAAGGGGCTCAGGGGACCCAATGGCTAATCATAATAATAAAATATAGTTCTTATTTGTTGAGTAATGGGCATTTTATGTAAGTTTTCACTACTACTGACAACAATCGTAAGAGATAGGTACAATCGTTATTCCCATTTTATGGATGAGGAAATTGAGGCTCAGAGAGACTGTCACCTGTTCAAGGACAAGAAGTGGTAGAGTCAGGGTTCTAATCCAAGTCAACTTGATTTTAAAACTCGGCCTCATTCCCCCAAGCCACCCAGGTTAGCATGCCTCTTAGGTTAATTAGGAACCACAAGTTTCAGGAATGTAGTAGGTCCTGAGGAGAAAAGGTGGAGGCAGCAATAGAGTGTGAGCACAAGACCAAGTTTGGGATAACTGGGGACCCAGCTTCCCATGGGGCTGGATCCAGCTCAGGTTAGAGGGCCTCGGAGGGATGAGAAGAAACAAGATTTTCTGAACTCCCTGGGAGTTCTGTTAACTATCTGTTAACTATCAATATATATTTAAAATTGAGAAAAAAATTTTAAATTGTATATTGATTTATTTAAAAATAACCATAGTTTAACCCATTACAGGTTGACATAAATAACATCTCTTTTGAAAAATAACTACAGTTTCTAAAGCAAAAGTTATTTAGTGAGAAGAATGGCCTTGTTTTATATTTTTGTAAATCTCAGTAATATCTGGCTTAACGGAAGAGAACTGGATTTTCATATCTGCTTCTACAGTCAGTCTATTGTGATATTCCTATCAAGTAACTTCTAGAATACTCCATATCTGATTAGCATTATTATGAAGATAATTTTGGCCTCATGAACCACCCCCCAGGGTTCCTGGTCCATACTTTGAGAACTAGAGGTGTAAATTGTTAGCCAACATTAATTGAGCAATTATTCTGAACCACACACTGTGCTAAATGGTTACATTTCTCAACTTATTTATCTGATGTCTTATAATATGTAATGTGATATGTAGTGTGATGTATTATAATATCTGATGTATTATGTCTTCATTTTACAGAGAGGGTAAGTGACTTGTCCAAGGTCATACAGCCACTGTGTAGAAGAGATTGAACCCAGGCAGTCTGGTTCCAGAGCCAGGGTCTTTAACCACTAGGCTGTGGTGTCACAAACTGCTTTCAGGGGCTTCCAGCTAGGAAATAAGACACAGAGTGGATAGATAAGACAGGGCAGTATAGCGAAAACCAAATCAGCTCATATATAACTGCTTCTTTTGGTTTCTCTACTGGTCAGTTTACCTCAGTGGGTTTGAAGGAACTTGACGGCAAGACTAAACCTCCTCCAAAGTCTACACCCAGTGGGTGCTTAGTAGGTGCTCACGAAGACCTTCCATGAATCCATGGCTGAATGAACAGGAAACACAGACCTAATGTTCAGTAGTGGGTGATGATGACAGCTACACCTGTGTATGCTGATAATTTGGACGCTACTGGAATTCAGGAGGGAGAGAACCCAGCTGAATTTCGGCTTAAGCTTCCCGAACGTGTTTCTCCCCCTGTATGTTGGGGTTGATAGGGTCGTTGTGAGGATTAAAGGAGATGGACTGTGCCTCACTGGGCCTGGCTCCTAGTGGGTGCCTGGGAAAGATTGAATCTGAATGCCTTGAAACCTAAATTCAGTTTGCCCCCAAGTCTAGCTCAGCTGGTGACTTCCTCCCTAGTTTATAATTAAATAAGGTCATATAAATGAAAGTGCTTTGGAAAGTCTAAAGCTCTAGAAAGTGCTGGGTGCTGGCATTGCTCTAGTTTTCCAGGATTGGTAAATTTGAATTTAATACCTATTAGGCACCCCCTCTTTCTCCTCCTTCCCCATCCCTCCCTTCCCCTCCTTTATCCAGGGACGGCAGTAGTTTCCTGGATTTAAGCTGTTCCAGCAGAAGGGGAGGGGGTCCCCTCCTTTCCTGATTGTCAGCTCCTTTTCTTTGGGGCATCTTGGGCTGAGTTCTCTTTCCCCAGAATACTTGCAAGGAAAAGAGACTAATTCCCAGCATCTGGCTGAATTAAAATAATTACATCTGAGAGGCTTTGCTTCTGTCATTCCAGCTCAGCATTCAGTGGGAGGATCAAAGGAAGAGGGAGGAGTCAGAGAGACAGTTTTCGCCAGAGTAGGGCTTCCTGCTCAAGTGAATACATTCTGCTGAAGTAGACAAACCCTCCTTTCATCCGTGGGGATGGCGTGGGCGGACCCCAGCAAAGGATTAGAGTGGACTCCAGCGAGTCACCAGCATGCTTACCAGCATGCTTTAGTAGGTTATAGAAAAGCCTTGCTCATCTAGAATTTAAATACCAAGAAAGTTCCAACAATCAGAATTTGATCCAAAATACTTGTCAGTGGTACTTGATGTTGATGATGATGAGCTTAAGCTCCTGAAGGACTTCTGAATCACCATTTAATTATGCTCAGCGGTAAAACTATTATTCGTATAACAGTGACCAACACTGTTATACGAATAGTCCTCACAATTATACGAGCATAATCCTCACAGTTGACCAAGAGTCTTATGTTTATAGTCTATTGGATTCTCACCCAGGGCTGGAGGCTGGGTGGATGTGAATGACTCTGGTTTACAGATGGAGAGATGTTGATGTAGCCTGCCTAAGATTGTGGGATTCTAGCCCAGGCCTTGAACTCTGAATCCTCAGTGAGTCTTTCCCTCATCCACAGTGAAGCCATGAGCCTTCATGGTTCATGAACATCTTTGGGCTTTGTGGTCTTTGTGGGGCCAATAGCCTTAAGCAGGCTTGGTGAGTAGTGGGCTTCTGAAGAGAGGCAGGGGTGCTGTGGATGCAGGAAGCAGGCAGCACCTTGCCCTTGCTTTCCCAGACCTTTAGCTCCCCTTAGGCCTGCTGGGCACCCAGACCTGTCTAACTCTGGAGTCGGGAGTTCCTGGCCAGTGAGCATGTCCTCACTGCCTCCCCAGTCAGGTCCCTGCACACGTTGGCAAAAGTGTGGCTCACCCCTCACAAGTGAAGGGAGTTAAAGCCTCACACTGCTGCCTCTGGGGGCCCTTACCCCTTAGGTATCACCAGCCTGCTCATATATTCATTCATTTCATTTCAGCATATTGCTCTGGCTCAGACCTCACCCTCACAGAGTTTCCAATTTAGTCTGAGAGACAGAACTGCCAACCAGCAATCAGTACAGCAGTGGTCTTTAACCCTTGTCAGACCCATTGCCTCTTTTTTATAACAAGTATTTTATCATATTTTACTATCTGGAAGGAAAATTCATAGATAGTACTTACAAGTGAGGAAATGAGCCCTTGCAGCTACCTGGGGGAAGATGGGTCCAGGCAAAAAGAACAGCTTATGCAAAGACCCTGGGGCAAGGGAGAATGACAACTGATATCAGAGATGTGAGGTTGTAGAAGGGAGTGGTAGCCAGATTGTATGGACTGCAGCAGTGGAGTTTAGCCTTGAATCCCAGTAAAGTTAGAACTCACTGTTCTAAAGACAAACTTCAGGGAGAGCCCAGCATCTCCATGTGGGAGACTAGGGAGGAGTCTTGGGAGGAAGGCAGAAAGATAAGAAGGAAGAGGGAAGGGGAAGTGGGGAAGTGGGGAAGGTTTTCTGAGACTCAGAAGTCTACAGGTTCATGCTGTGGCTAGCACAGATATGTGTCCTGTGTGGTGAATGGCCAGCATTCAAACATTACCCTTTTAAAAGTTAGTTTGTAATTGGCCTTAGAAATCATTTCTCTGGTTTATAAAAAAGAAAACAAAACAAACATATTTTTCCTGATACTAAAAAAATAACATTCATAATGTACAAGTTGGAAAATACAAAGAATAGAAAGATCACCCAGAGATAATCATTGTTGACATTTTGATGCATTGCCTCCAAGGCTTTTTCCTTCATGTACATGTATGCATTTTTCTTACAATTAGTAGAATGTGGTATCCAGTTTTATTTTGGCAGTAGAATATGGTATCTAGATTTATTTTCTCATGTCATTAGATATTCCTGGAAAACATATATTTAATAGCTGCATGTTATTCCTCTGTTTTGTGGCTGGGCCGTAATTTGTTGACTCTATTCTCTTACAGGAAACAATATAATTAATACTGCAGTGAACATTCTCATAGCTGAATTGTTCCATTTTTCTTTTTTCTTTATTTTTAATTTATTTATTTAAATTAGTTTCAATTATACAGTACATTGGTTAGACATCCATATAGTTCATAAAACGATCCCCCTAATTGCTCCCTCCCTCCCCTGGCCCTCTGCCTAGCCATCATATTAATGCTAACTGCATTCCCTCTGCCATGCTCCCCACCCCCGTGCCCAGCTATCGAATACTAATTTGTACTTCTTTAACCTTTCACCCCATTCTCCCAGCCTCCCT